TTCCTTGAACTCAGATGGAATGTAAGAATTTTTGAGCCAAGGGGAGGTGACGAGCGGGGTCTCCGAAAAGGCAGCTTCCAAATTAACCCAAGCCTTAGGATTACGATTCATAGACCAATCTACTATTCTTGCCCTTTGGCAGGCTCTGTAGTAGAGGCTCTGTAGTAGAGGCTCTGTAGTAGCGGGTGATGTCAGGTAGTCCAATACCTCCGCTGGTCTTAGGCATGGTAAGTTGGTCAAAACCGATTCTGGGGCGTTTATTACACCATAGAAATGAGGTACATAATGTTTTATAAGACCTAAAGAAGGTGCCACGAGTCCCGTACACATCCACAGCGACTATCTAACCGAGGTGCACACATCCGGCCGTGACTTGGGGTAAGAGGGAATAAAGGGGACTTAACTTTGAATATATAAAACTGTATATAAGACCAGCAGTGATATACTTCCACAGCCCGCACTACCTTTTGGCCACCACCAGAGGGAGACTGCACTCCAATCCAGCTGGTCGACCACACACACTGGCAGATACGATCTTACATACAATCTGGTGCACTAATTAGGGTTGAAGAGTAGCCTAGCAATCGACACACCCTTCTAGGGTTCCTCCAGCTATCCTACAGCTAGAACCCCGGTGTTAATCACTCTTCCACTGTCCACACACCCCCACACCACAAAAGGTAGCCTGCCACCACCCAACAGTTTATCCACAGAACAGTCTGCTGGGACACCCCACACACACAGATCTCCATCTGGCAGATCTGTTACCTTTACAATCTGCACAAATCTGCCCACACACAGTGCAATTGCATACAGATTGGCAATGAGCTTTACCAAGCGTTTAAAGGCACTAAAATACAATCCAGTCTAATCTAATCCAATCTAATCTCTCCAATCTAAAATATATAATAAATAAAATATGTACAAAATATAAAAAAAAGTTACAGAAATACAAAAAATACAAGAAGACACACAAATGACTATTCACTATAAAATAAAAGGGAATAAAAGAGAAGTAAAACTTTACCAATATTTACCCTGCGACTGGAGCAAGTCAGAAAAGTCGGCAATCCGTTAGTCCATCGACCAGCTCCATATGAAATACAATGTCCCAATGCCCGGGTACTCAATTTATGGGGATATGGACATAGGCGGGACATTAGTCCTTGGCCAATTGACCCTGGGGGGGTATTTCTGCACCCGCCCACAGGATGTTCTGGATGCTGACCTGCTCAAGTTCAATCGGACCAAGACCGGCTTGAAACACCAAGTCGGGGATTGGATTTCCGACACCAGTGCATCAGCCCGATTGAGACAGTACCAAACACTGTTCGACTGTCACACTCCAGCGCCACCTAACCATTTCCTGCATTTTCCTGGCCTTCTACCTAAGCCACAAATATGGTTTTTATACGTCTGTGTGGCGCTCTCTGCACAGTCTCTCTGCAACTAATATTTTAGCTTTTATGAGAGATGAAACATACCCCTTTGATGTATGGATATACTTTTAGCTCCCCAGACAGATCAGAGACCCCTTGCTGTCATGAAGCCGAAATGTCTGTGTTTCTCTTTTCAGCTTCAGGAAGGTGGCCAAGTCTAATTATGTATAGGTGACAAAATCTTATTAGCACCCAGGCATCACTTCCAGCCTGAGGAAGCTAGGCTTGTCAGGTGCTAATTGATGAGCTAATTGATGACCATCTATCTGAGTATATGACTGAATACATCTTTAATAGCAAGGCATGCAACTACATTTACGATTACATATTGCCACTGATCACATCTTATCTACTCAAATCTGTACATTTTATGTCACAGAAGGAATTAGGCAGTTTGATTTGAATCGTTTGCAGTAGGTACAGAAGTCTAGGAAGCACGTTCATCTTGAGGATAGCTGCTCTGCCAAACCAAGAGAAGAATGGCTTGTCCCATGTCTGTAGATCTTTGGTGATGCTATGTAAGATGGGTAGAAAGTTTTTGGCATAGAATTCTGTAAGATGGGTCAGTAATTGAATTCCTAAATAAGTGATGGCCTCAGACTGCCATGTGAAGGAAAAATTAATTTTCACCTGTCGGATCGTATCTTGGGTTAGGGAAATATTGAGGGCTTGGGATTTATTGAAATTTATTTTAAAATTGGCCAAATACTGAAACAATTTGAAGTCATGTAGTAGGTTAAGTAATGTAATATGTGGGTCTGTTAAGAAGAGTAAGATGTCGTCAGCGAAGGCTGCTATTTTGTGAGTTTTGCCATTGATTGAAATCCCTTTAATATTGTCATTCCGTTTAATACAGTTCAAGAAAGGTTCAAGTGTAAGAATGAATAGGAGGGGGGATAATGGGCAGCCCTGTCTGGTCCCATTGCTTATTGAAAAAGCTTCGGAAAGGAGGCCATTGACTCTCACTTTAGCCGTTGGTGTTGTGTATAGAGACATGATAAAGTTCAAAAGACGGGAAGGATTTTATTTAATATTTTATGGCTTTTTTTTTTAAATTTAAATATTTATTTATTTTCCATATATAGTACATATTTCATCATTATTCTCATACAAAAACCATTTCCAAATCATTAATTACATTTCTTACTATCTTTATTCCCATTACCTCCCCCCTATCTAATTTCCCCTCCTCCTCAAATAAAACCTCCCTCTCCCCATATAAACCCACCCACTCTGCATTGTTCTATTCCCTCTTTTCCCAACTAGAATATATAAATCCTTCCACCTCTCTCACACTACTACTTCATATATTTCACCATAAATTCTTCCCATTTTCTCCACCTCTTAGAGAATAACCCCATCCTATCTTCCTGCATATAACACAATCTCTCCATCCTACATATCTGATTCGTTCTCTCCACCCAATCCTCTATCTTCGGCACCTCTGGTCTATGCCAGAACTTAGGTATCAGACCCTTTGCCGCATTCGGATAGCACCAGATACCCGAGTCCTTGTATTTATTTACTGATAGCTCTGTACTATGTAGTAGACACTTCTGGGTCCAGTCCTATCTTTATCTCAGAGATATTCTCAATTAGTTGGACAATTATCTCCCAGAAACCTTGGATCTTCGGGCACTCCCACCATATATGATATAACGTGCCTATTTTCCCACAACCCCTCCAGCACTCTTGTGAATTTTCCCCACATATCTTATACTCAACCTTCGGTGTGATGTGCCATCTCGTTAAACACTTATAATTTACCTCCACCTCTCTCATACTTCTATTCTCGTGTATTAATCTATATATTTTCCTTTGTTTATCTTCATCTATCTCTATTCCCAAATCTCTTTCCCATTTTACTATATACATTGGCTTTGTGTGAGTGTCTAACTTAGTGAGGATCTTATAAACTTTTGCCGTACCTCGTGTTTCCAACAACCTCTCAAACAGATTCCAATCCTTTCTCAATCTCAACGGTTTGGAAGGTTTCTGACAAAGTGTTTTAATTGGTGATATCTCCACTCATTTATTTTAATGAAGAGTTCCCTTTTATCTTTTTTCAAATCCTTAAGGTTTCTCAATTCCTGTCCTTCCATAATATCTCTCAGTTGGATATCTTCTTTTTTAAACCATTTTCCTGTGCTCTCCTCCTTACCTGGAGGAAAATAATCCGTGTTCCTCAGTGATATTAATTGTGAATTAAAATCCCATTTCATAAGTTTGTGCAATTTATCCCAAACCTTTAAAACATTTAATGTAAAAACACTCGTGGTATCTTTTAACCCTCTATATTGTGCTGGTGCCCATATAATTCTACTCAAGGTACCTCCACTTAGTTCATTCTCAATCTGAACCCACCTTTTCCCCTCTGAGTTATGTATCCAATCATACATTCTCGCTAGGACTGCTGCTCTATAAATATTTTATGGCTTTTGATTGATTTAGCCCATATTCATTTTGCTGTATAATGTCATCTATTACTATTCTAATTACCTGTATAGCCCAATACTATAATCTGCACCAAGCCTCGGCTTATGTCCCAAGCCGTATGGCTCAGGGAAAATGGGGCTCAGAACTTCTAGCGCATGCGCACTATACTACAAGTGTGCCCGTGATTACTGCTCATTATTATGACCATACCTGCAGTTTTTGGACTATTTTGGCCACTGATTACATCTGTTTGGTGGACCACTGAACACACGTTGTCCCTACATGGGTTTTTCCCTGCCAAATCAGAGCTGTTAGCTGCCAGTGTAAGTTGGTATATGAGAAAATGACGCCCGTTTTTCGGGACGTGCGCAGTCCATGCAGATCATCGGCAAGATGGCACCCGCTCATTTGAAGCACCTTTTGTCCCTATAAATAGTACTGTATCTGACGTCCAGGCTGCTATGGCAACACCCCTTTTCACAATGTACTAGGTGTATGAAACGCATTAAGGAGGAGCTACACACGCCTGTGATGTCAGGCCACCAGATCACGGAGGTTAGGTGGCCACACTACTATCCAGCTGGTTAGTGATTTTAGTGGCTTTCTGCTGCACACTATTTGTATACCATTCTACCTATTGGCGAAAGGCTTTTGGATTGTAAATGACCTATTGGTGACCATCCCTAAGGCCCAGAGGAGAGGAAAGTGATCCAATTGCTGACCCCTACCGCAGTCCACCATTTGAAAAGACCTTTAGAGGCATCATCTTATTGCCCATTCCTAAGGGAAAACCTATCTATTTGGAGCTGCATCCTTCCCAGGACAGAGGGGATCTCTGGTTTTGATAACTGTGCTAATAAATTGCACATCTGGTGAGTGCGCAATTGTATTATTTCTGCACTACACCGAATTTACGCCTAACTGGGAGTATTTGAGTCACCATCCTGATTGTATCTCCCTAATTAGTACAATAGAACTTTTATATACATAGTTATATATCACATCTGGACATTATAACTTGTGGTCTTACCATTTCATTAATTTTATGGTTTATTTTGGAGCCCCAGGCATTTATATATATTTATTTATAATATTTGCGCTACACTTTCTGTTTTACAAGGCTTCTCCCCGTGTGAGTTCTCTGATGAGTGTAAAGACTGGACTTGTGTGAAAAACATTTCCCACACTCAGGACAGGAATACGGCTTCTCCCCTGTGTGAGATCTCTGATGGGTGTAAAGATGGTATTTTTGTGAAAAAAACTTCCCGCACTCGGGACAGGAATACGGCTTCTCCCCTGTGTGAGATCTCTGATGTGTGTAAAGATGGTATTTTTGTGAAAAACATTTCCCGCACTCAGGACAGGAAAATGGCTTCTCCTTTGTGTGAGATCTTTGATGTTTGTGCAGACTGAACTTCTCTGAAAAACATTTCCCACACTCGGAACAGGAATACGGCTTCTCCCCTGTGTGAGATCTCTGATGTCTGTGAAGACTGGATGACTCTGAAAAACATTTCCCGCACTCAGGACAGGAAAATGGCTTCTTACCCATGTGAGTCCTTTGATGTTTGACAAGATCTGATCTTCGTAAAAAACATTTCCCGCACTCAGGACAGGAATATGGCTTCTCAGCTGTATGAGATATTTTATGCTTATTAAGATTGGATTTATAATGGAAACACTTCCCGCACTCAGGACAGGAATATAGCTTCTCAGCTGTGTGAAGCCTTTGATGTGTTCTAAGATTAGACTTTTGTGAAAAAAATTTCCCACACTCAGGACAGGAATATGGTTTCTCCCCTGTGTGAGATCTGTTATGCTCATTAAGATGGAATTTAGAAGGGAAACATTTCCCGCACTCAGTACAGGAGAAGCTCTTCCCTGTTGGAGGGCCGGCCCGGTCCCGCACAGTCTGAGGTTCCTCAGGATACGAGGAATCCGATGGTCCATCTACACTGGGTGGTGCCGGATGGACATTGGAGGGAGCCGGGTTTTCTCCTG